AGCGCTAACGCCGCCCCCCCCCCCCCCTCCATTTGGGGGTGGAAGGGATTCAGCTCCCCCCAAGTCTCAATTCAGTGCTTCTCCCTCCTGTCGTGGGCCCAGCCCTGGCAGCATCCCTCCCCCCTCTCCCCCAAACGATCAATCCCTGCAGAACACGCTGTCCCTCCTCATGCCCCCCCACCTCATTAGCCTGGAGCCCTGGTGCCTGCCAGGCTGCTAATGGAAGAGGCCTTTGTCTTTCCAAGGAACCAAGCAGGAGGCTGCGCTCATGGCCCCTCTGCTTACCTCCACACCCCCTGCCTGGAACATCCAGCTAGGCACTGCTGTTAGCTTGCAGTGGCCACCCCAGAGGTGGCTGCATCTTCAGGCCCAGGCTCAGCCCCTGCATAGGATCAGGCACAGGTGGGGCTGCGCGTGGCTTTTCCCTCCCTCCATCACTAAGCCTGGAGCAGTCTAAACAAAGGACCCTGAAGGGCACAACTTCCAGGCAGCTGCAGAGGGGGTGAAATTGGAGCCTGCCTGGGCTGCCTCCCTCTTGGCCTCCTGGAAACCCGAGCCCACAGGACATCAAGTACATGGGGAGCCAGGACCTCCTGGGGCACAGGCAGCCTCTCCCCCGCATCCTAGACCCCTGGGGCCCAATCGGGGAGTTGAACCCAGGTCCCCCTGGGGAACTTATATTATAACCACCCCCCACAGATTGGGGAGCAACAGCAGACACCGCCCCCTCCTGGCTACAGCTGACCCTGCACAGTTGCAGAGCCCAGGCAGCCCGCCCTGCCCCATGCCCGCTGCTGCTCACCCAGGCCAAGGGGCTCCAGCAGTCACAGGGGCAGGATAACACCCCCCAGGGTAGTACCATAAAAAGCAGGGAGAACCCCAAGGGGCTGGACAGCAAGAAGACGACACTGTTATCAGAAGCCCCGCACCACGCAGCAAGTCCAATAAAGGTCAGGTCTGCACTTTACCAAGACCCACGTGTTGGTCCATGACTGGGGACAGGGGGTGAGGCTGACTAGTCCCCTTCCTCTGGGGTCCTGGAGCTGGGCACTCTAGGGTGGTCAGAGCCTTCGCAGCTTGAGGTTTTATTAGAAAATGTTGTTCCCTCTGTTCATACCCTCAGACACAGGCCAGGCTAGGAAAAGCACTTTATTCAAGGATCAGGCACAAGACAGACTGCTCCAGAGACTAGTACTCTTCGCCTTCGTCCTCCCCTTCTACGCTGTCGGCCCCCACCTCCTCGTAATCCTTCTCCAGGGCAGCCATGTCCTCGCGCGCCTCCGAGAACTCCCCCTCTTCCATGCCCTCGCCCACGTACCAGTGCACGAAGGCACGCTTGGCATACATCAGGTCGAACTTGTGGTCCAGGCGTGCCCAGGCCTCTGCAATGGCCGTAGTGTTGCTCAGCATGCACACAGCGCGCTGCACCTTGGCCAGGTCACCGCCGGGCACTACTGTCGGAGGCTGGTAGTTGATGCCCACTTTGAAGCCAGTTGGGCACCAGTCCACGAACTGGATACTGCGCTTGGTCTTGATGGTGGCAATGGCAGCGTTGACATCCTTGGGCACCACGTCGCCACGGTACAGCAGCCAGCAAGCCATGTACTTGCCGTGGCGGGGGTCGCATTTCACCATCTGGTTGGCCGGCTCGAAGCAGGCATTGGTGATCTCGGCCACCGTCAGCTGCTCGTGGTAGGCCTTCTCGGCAGAGATGACAGGGGCGTAGGTGGCCAGGGGGAAGTGGATGCGGGGGTAGGGCACCAGGTTGGTCTGGAACTCTGTCAGGTCCACATTGAGGGCCCCGTCAAAGCGCAGCGAGGCGGTGATGGACGACACGATCTGGCTGATGAGGCGGTTCAGGTTGGTGTAGGTGGGGCGCTCGATGTCCAGGTTGCGGCGGCAGATGTCGTA